TGTCTCAGTGCCCCCATGTCTCTCAGTGTCCCCTAGTGTCTCAGTGTCCCTAGGTATCACCGTGTCCCCTAGTGCCTCAGTGACTCCAAGTGTCCCTATGTCTCCCAGTGTCCCTATATCTCCATGTCTCCCAATGTCCCCTAGTGTCTCAGTGTTCCTATGTGTCACAGTGTCCCCTAGTGTCTCAGTGTCCCCAAGTGTCCCTATGTCTCCCAGTGTTCCTATATCTCCCTGTCTCCCAGTGTCCCCTAGTGTCGCAGTGTTCCTATGTGTCACAGTGACCCCTAGAGTCTCAGTGTCCCCAAGTGTCCCTATGTCTCCCAGTGTCCCCTAGTGTCACAGTGTTCTCATGTCTCCCCTTGTCCCCTAGTGTCTTCCAGTGTCCCCTAGTGTCTCCCAGTGTCTCCTAGTGCCTGTGTCCCCATGTCTCCCTGCAGCCATTCCCCACATCCCTCACTTACCTGAGCTGTAGGCTGTGTCTCAATTTCCCCCCTAGTGTCTTAGTGTCCCCAAGTGTCCCTATGTCTCCCAGGTCTCCCAGTGCCCCCTAGTGTCTCAGTGTCCCCAAGTGTCCATATGTCTCCCAGTGTCCCCTAATGTCTCAGTGTCCCCTAGTGGCACCCATGTCTCCCAGTGCCCCCTAATGTCTCAATGTCCCCAAGTGACCCTATATCTTCCAGTGTTCCCTAGTGTCTCAGCATCCCCATGTCTCCCAGTGCCCCCCAGTGTCCCTATGTCTCCCAGTGTCCTTTAGTGTCACAGTGTCCCCATGTCTCCCAGTGTCCCCTAGTGTCTTCCAGTGCCTGTGTCCCCATGTCTCCCTGCAGCCATTCCCCACATCCCTCACTTACCTGAGCTGTAGGCTGTGTCTCAATTTCCCCCCCTAGTGTCTCAGTGTCCCCAAGTGTCCATATGTCTCCCAGTGTCCCCTAGTGTCTCAGTGTCCCCTAGTGCCTCAGTGTCCCCAGGTCTCCCAGTGCCCCCTAGCGTCTCAGTGTCCCCAAGTGTCCATACGTCTCCCAGTGTCCCCTAATGTCTCAGTGTCCCCAAGTGACCCTATATCTTCCAGTGTTCCCTAGTGTCTCAGCATCCCCATGTCTCCCAGTGCCCCCCAGTGTCCCTATGTCTCCCAGTGTCCTCTAGTGTCTCAGTGTCCCCATGTTTCACAGTGGCCCAAAGTGTCCCAGTGGCCCCAAGTGGCCCTATGTCTCCCAGTGTCCCCAGATCTCCCAGTGTCCCCTAGTGTCTCCCAGTGTTCCCTAGTGTCTGTGTCCCCATGTCTCCCTGCAGCCTTTCCCCATTCCTCACTTACTGTACTTACTGTAGTTTGTCTCTGCCGGCTCAGAGCTGCTGTCTGGACTCTCTGTGCAGAGCTGCTCCCCCCCCCAGATCAGTGAGCAGGGAGGGAGATGCTGTAACTACCTATCCCTGCCTCTCTCCACACACACAGCGACCCCTACTGGCCAGCGCTGGTACACTGGCTAGCCAGCCTCAAATATCGGAGAAATACCAACCAAGTGGCAACCCTAAGAGTAGTATGAAAAAAAAAAAAGTCCCCCCTGCCCTTTAAAAAAAAAAAAAAATCAATCAATCCATCTGCCCCTATGTTAATCTGGCCCTGCATTTGACCTACGTTCAGCCACTCTACATATGTTCAGCTCAAGTTCGGCCACACAAGTTTGTTGTCAATATATTTGGCCTATGTTAGGCCACACTATATATTTAGTTTCAATATTTTCGGCCCTGTTGCATATTCACTGTACAATACATCTGGCCTCACAAAATTTGTTTTCAGTATATTTGGCCTAGGTTCAACCTTTTTACATAGTCACTTTGGTTAGTACTTTGGCCCTACATTCGTCAGTGATACGGTTTCATTACGTATATTTGGTCTACATTTGGCCAATTTGATTGTAATACATTAAGCTTACGTTCGGCCATGCTACATTTGCATTTGGTTTAGTACATTTGGCCTACCTTCTGCCACGCTATATAGACATTTTTGATGTAGTACGATCGACCTATGTTTGTCCACACTTTGTATTTGTTCAGGTTTAGTACATTTAGCCTATGTTCACCTGCACAACATTTTCACTTTGATTCTGCCTATGTGTGGTGGCACTATATATTCATTTTGGTTCATTACATTCGGCCTATGTTTGGCTGTGCTTTCTTTACTTCAATTTTAAGTCTTGTATGACCATGTATGACCATGCTACCTGTCATTAGGCTTTTTCCTATCAGCTGTCATATCAACAGTTAGTTTCAGATAAGTTTTCCCGTTTATTATTACAGCGCTGCATCCATAAGTGCAATTTTTATAGTGTACTACTTGTGCTTTTATGAACCCACTTGTTCACCTGTCTTTATAAGTTTATATTTACTACAGCATACTTCAAACTAAACCTATTAAATAAATGGTAATATCTAACTGATTTATAATCTGCTACATACTTTATATCTGAAGCCATGTAGTTGCCAGAAATTGACCATTGCAATATTTACCTCTCCAACTCTGCAACTCCTATTATTCCCAGTCTTGTTTCTTGTTTATTTCTTGTTTGTCCTCTGGTTATCTGGTACCCACGTCTACATACTGACACTTCATTGAAATGCGTTCCCATGTCCACAAACAATTTTGCACTCCCCAAAGTGGTATTTGATACTGAACCTCTGCTATCATTGGGGACACAAGCTCATCAAACTGTTTTTAATTACCGAGTGTCCCTTTTTACAGAGGTTACGCACGTATTCATTTTTGGTATTTGGCTACTGAGCTTCTTCTATCACAGAAGACACATACTCTTCAAATTTCAGATTTGTTAATGAGCTTCCTCTATCACAGAGGTCAAACGCTCATCTTAATGTTATTTGATTACTGAGCTTACTGTATTCTAGATGTACACACGTTTATCAAATTCGAACATCCTCTTTTGCAGAGGTCACGCGCTCATCATATTAGCATTTATTAGTGAGCTTCCTCTTTTACACAGATTTTATGCTCTTTACACAGATATTTGTTGTGACGGACTGCCTGGCACTCCGACCGAGTGCCTCCGCTAATCAATGCTCCCAGTGCTCACCGAGGAATTCCAGCAGTCCACCAGACACCATGATCACTGCAGACCCCAATTCCAGCGATGCAGCTGCATCGGGGTCTCGCCGTCCTTCACCCACCATGGACCCAAGACCAGGATCCAGCTTCCAGTGGGCAGACCTCTCCTACTCCCAGAGAGCATAGCAGGAACAGCTCTTATAAGAGCTAGTAATTATAATTCCTGGGGAGTATAGAGATATAGCAATCCCCAGGATAGATACAGCCGTTTCCCCCACACATGAGATGAGACTCTATGTTGAGGGAAGCAGGAACAGAATTTTAATGGAGGCACACTAGCCTTTTATGCAAGTTTCCCAACAAGGATGACACCAGGTGGACCTTGTTGGGCACAGGGTCACAAAGTGAATAAACTAATAAAAACAGAGTCATAGAGTGAGACACTCCCATACACAAACAATAGAATCCCTCCTCTGTGCATTGGAGATAATTGAATAAGGAACTGTATTAATCTAACCCAATTATCTCCAAGCACAGAAAAACATAAAATTTTATGAAACCCAAAAAGTACCTTAAAAACACATAAAACCCCATAAAAGTTACATCTCCCAATAGGCCGATCTGGGTGAACAACATATCCAAAAATCACCCAGATTAGTTCAGGGGTTCAGGAATTTCCTGGAAGTCATAATTTTGACCGACCGTGCACATGGTCCTATGCCCCAAACAGTTCCCGGGAAATCAGTGCTAACAGTCGGTCAAGTTCGGTAGTTTTTTACAGGTTTCCCTAAAGGCAGGAGGCTGGAAAGCAGGTCCCTCCAAGTACAAGTGGTTACCTTCGCCACATTTGTTACTGAGTTTCCTCTTTTGTAGAGGACATGTGCTCATCAAATTGGTATTTGGTTACTGAGTTTCCTCTTTTGCATAGGTAACATGCTCATTAAATTGGTATTTGTTGGGGTGTGTGGCCTACAGAGCTTACAAGCAGACTTCATTTCCCTGAACTCTGATCGGGCCTATGGCAAAACAAAGCAATAAAGCCGCAAAACTAGCACACTTTACACCAAAAATGAACCCCCAGAGACTATGGGGTGCAAGAATAGGAAAAACCACGACCAGAGGCTCCCCGTCAGCCAGATATTTGGCTCTCCTTCGAGAGACTACTGCTGCAGCAGCCTCCCAAAATGGAGCTGGACTCCCAAAGTGCGCCAAAGCTGTCAGAGGCTTTACTAGAGGAGGATGATCCTCTCACTTCTCCCTGCTCAGGGGCTATATCTCCCACCTCTGAATCAGGCAAGGATGAGGAACCCTCAATGAATGGAGGCATTAAGAGGCTCCCGGTAGACCTATGGAAAGTCTGGAAGGAAGACCTCCAGGTGGCCCAAGCCCAACTTGGGGAGGTCCACAAGAAGATAGGTGAGAAGGAGAGAGGCGGCCAGAGTCAAACACATACAGGACACGGACAGAAAAATTGACAACCTTACCTCCAAAGTACAACACCTAAACAGAGTGATAACCACTCTAGAGACATTAAAGAAAGAAAAACCTGCCCCTCAGAGGCATCCCTGAACAACTGAGACACTACCCACGTTTATCAAATAATTGATTAATAACATGGGCATTAGAGACAATCCTGCACTGCCTATGATTACCTCTGAATTTAGCTGAAGTCAGCTGCGGCCCAAAGCAGAGCACCCAGAGACATAATAGCTGAGACACAGGATATTGCAGCGAGTTCAGCAATCATGAGGGAGATGGGGACGATACAACATAAGAGACACACTGTCGCTATATGTGCAGACATCCCATTCTCAGTCCTGACAGAGAAGAGGAAGCTGGCCCCGATTGCTAAGCGACTGAGAGAGCACGCTATAAAATACAGCTGGGGGATAGAGGAGTCCTAATGGAGACGAGACCATGATGTTGTCATCAGCGGATGATCCAGAGCCTCTCCTGCAGACATTGGGTCTATCAACCCACCCACGGAATTCCGCATTCGAGACAGCAAACAGAGACAGGGAACATGTCGAAAGGGGCAGCCGCGGGTTGGTGCAAGTGATCAAGAACACACTACAGAAACTGCAACCTCTATCAAGAGAGCGCAACCCAAACTTCGGCACTTCACGACCACTCAGCAGTCTATACAGTGCCAGACGCCTCACCTGAAGTGAGTCAGCCCAGTATAGAGCGATGTCCGGCAACACAACCACCTATTACTTTACATGCCTAGAGCTTTCTAAATGCGATCACCCAAAGGCCAAGACTGAAACACCATGTTACCTCATGTTATCATAACTGTAGTGACTCTGTGACAGCCGATAATGATTTGTTACATGTAGCAACATTGTATGCCCATTTAATTTGTCGTAATCTCCAAGCATATGTTCACTTATTATTATTTTTTATATATAATGGAGATACCGTATACTGATGATGTAAACTCAATAAAACAAAAATTGAAAGAAAAAAAATAGATATTAAATTGGTATTTGTTACTGGGCTTCCTCTTTCGCAGAGGTTATGTGCATCTGTCCATCTATCCATCCCATATACTTTTTATATACATTTGACCAAAAATACAATAAAACAAAAGAATGATACTTGTGCAAAGTTCACAAAAAGTGAAGACACTTATTTACATAAAAGTATTTTATTTTCCACAAAATCATTTCTTAAAATAAGAGTCTGTATATATGGCAATATTGTCTCTTTGTATGCACAATGCACACACATTTATAGACTCATAATAAAACACCCAAAATATGTAACTTTAAAAGCACTGACAGGTGAAGTGAATAACATTGAATATATTGTTACTAGTGATGCACCAAATGGTTCGCTGGCGAATAGTTCCCGGCGAACATAGCATGTTCGTGTTCGCCACGGCGGGCGAACATATGCGCGGTTCGATCCGCCCCCTATTCGTCATCATTGAGTAAACTTTGACCCTGTACCTCACAGTCAGCAGACACATTCCAGCCAATTAGCAGCACACCCTCCCTAGCAGACCCTCCCACCTACTGGAAGGCATCCATTTTAGATTCATTCTAAAGCTGCATGCTTAGTGAGAGGAGGAAAAATGTAGCTGCTGTTGATTAGATAGGGAAATGCATAGCTAGGTTAGGGTATACAGTGTCCACTACAGTCCTGAAGGACTCATCTTATCTCTGCTGTAAGGACAGCACCCCAAAAAAGCCCTTTTTAGGGCTAGAACATCAGTCTTTTTTTTTTCCTGTGTAATGTAATTGCAGTTGCCTGCCTGCCAGCTTCTGTGTCAGGCTCACAGTGGATACTGTGCCCAGTGCGACCACTCACTCACTGGTGTCACAATAGCTTGCATTTAAAAAAAAATCAAAAAAAATCACTATAATAGATTGAATAGCAGTTAGTTGTCTGCCATCTTCTGTATCAGGCTCACAGTGGATACTGTGCCCAGTGCCACCACTGGCTCACTGGTGTCACAATAGCGTGCATTTAAAAACCCAAAAACTTTTTTCACTGTTATAGATGGAATAGCAGTTAGTTGTCTCAAAGCGGGTGTGTCAGGCTCACAGTGGATACTGTGCCCAGTGCCACCACTCACTCACTGGTGTCACAATAGCTGGCATTTAAAAACAAAAAACTTTTTTCACTGTTATAGATTGAATAGCAGTTAGTTGTCTCAAAGTGGGTGTGTCAGCCTTACAGCGTGTACTCTGCCTGTTCACAGTGCCACTCTTATCTGGTGTCACAATAGCTTGCATTTAAAAACCCAAAAACTTTTTTCACTGTTATAGATTGAATAGCAGTTAGTTGTCTGCAAGTGTCTGTGTGTCAGGTTCACAGTGGATACTGTGCCCAGTGCCACCACTCACTCACTGGTGTCACAACAGCTTGCATTTAAAACCCAAAAACTTTTTTCACTGTTATAGATTGAATAGCAGTTAGTTGTCTCAAAGCGGGTGTGTCAGGCTCACAGTGGATACTGTGCCCAGTGCCACCACTCACTCACTGGTGTCACAATAGCTTGCATTTAAAAACAAAAAACTTTTTTCACTGGTATAGATTGAATAGCAGTTAGTTGTCTGCCAGCGTCTGTGTCAGGCTCACAGTGGATACTGTGCCCAGTGCCACCACTCACTCACTGGTGTCACAATAGCTTGCATTTAAAACCCAAAAACTTTTTCACTGTTATAGATTGAATAGCAGTTAGTTGTCTCAAAGCGGGTGTGTCAGGCTCACAGTGGATACTGTGCCAGTTCACATTGCCACTCATATCTGGTGTCATAATAGCGTGCATTTAAAACCAAAAAACTTTTTCACTGTTATAGATTGAATAGCAGTTACTTGTCTCAAAGGGGGTGTGTCAGGCTCACAGTGGATACTGTGCCCAGTGCCACCACTCACTCACTGGTGTCACAATAGCATGCATTTAAAAAACCAAAAACTTTTTTCACTGTTATAGATTGAATAGTAGTTAGTTGTCTCAAAGCGGGTGTGTCAGGCTCACAGTGGATACTGTGCCCAGTGCCACCACTCACTCACTGGTGTCACAATAGCTTGCATTTAAAACCAAAAAACTTTTTTCACTGTTATAGATTGAATATCAGTTAGTTGTCTGCCAGCGTCTGTGTCAGGCTCACAGTGGACACTGTGCCCAGTGCCACCACTCACTCACTGGTGTCACAATAGCGTGCATTTAAAAAACAAAAAACTTTTTTCACTGTTATAGATTGAATAGCAGTTAGTTGTCTCAAAGCGGGTGTGTCAGGCTCACGGTGGATACTATGCCCAGTGCCACCACTCACTCACTGGTGTCACAATAGCTTGCATTTAAAACCAAAAAACTTTTTTCACTGTTATAGATTGAATAGCAGTTAGTTGTCTCAAATCGGGTGTATCAGCCCTACAGCGTGTACTCTGCCAGTTCACAATGCCACTCTTATCTGGTGTCACAATAGCATGCATTTAAAAACCAAAAAACTTTTTTCACTGTTATAGATTGAATAGCAGTTAGTTGTCTCAAAGCGGGTGTGCCAGCCCTACAGTGTGTACTCTGCCAGTTCACAGTGCCACTCATATCTGGTGGTGTCATAATAGCTTGCATTTAAAAACAAAAAACTTTTTTCACTGTTATAGATTGAATAGCAGTTAGTTGTCTCAAAGCGGGTGTGTCAGCCCTACAGCGTGTACTCTGCCAGTTCACAGTGCCACTCATATCTGGTGTCATAATAGTTTGCATTTAGAAACAAAAAACTTTTTTCACTGTTGTAGATTGAATAGCAGTTAGTTGTCTCAAAGCGGGTGTATCAGGCTCACAGTGGATACTGTGCCCAGTGCCACCACTCACTCACTGGTGTCACAATAGCTTGCATTTAAAAACAAAAAACTTTTTTCACTGTTATAGATTGAATAGCAGTTAGTTGTCTCAAAGCGGGTGTGTCAGGCTAACAGTGGATACTGTGCCCAGTGCCACCACTCACTCACTGGTGTCACAATAGCTTACTTTAAAACCAAAAACCTTTTTTCACTGTTATAGATTGAATAGCAGTTAGTTGTCTCAAAGCGGGTGTGTCAGGCTCACAGTGGATACTGTGCCCAGTGCCACCACTCACTCACTGGTGTCACAATAGCGTGCATTTAAAAAACAAAATACTTTTTTCACTGTTATAGATTGAATAGCAGTTAGTTGTCTGCCAGCGTCTGGGTCAGGCTCACAGTGGATACTGTGCCCAGTGCCACCACTCACTCACTGGTGTCACAATAGTGTGCATTTAAAAACCCAAAAACTTTTTTCACTGTTATAGATTGAACAGCAGTTAGTTGTCTCAAAGCGGGTGTGTCAGGCTCACAGTGGATACTGTGCCAGTTCACAGTGCCACTCATATCTGGTGTCATAATAGCTTGCATTTAAAAACAAAAAACTTTTTTCACTGTTATAGATTGAATAGCAGTTAGTTGTCTGCAAGCGTCTGTGTGTCAGGCTCACAGTGGATACTGTGCCCAGTGCCACCACTCACTCACTGGTGTCACAATAGCATGCATTTAAAAATAAAAAACTTTTTTCACTGTTATAGATTTAATAGCAGTTAGTTATCTGCAAGCGTCTGTGTGTCAGGCTCGCAACGTATACTGTGCCCACTTGCCCAGTGCCACCACTCACTCACTGGTGTCACTATAGCTTGCATTTAAAAAAAATAAAAAAAAAATTCACTATAATAGATTGAATAGCAGTTAGTTGTCTGCAAGCGTCTGTGTGTTACAGTGGCGTCTCTAGGATTCATTTTTTGGGGGGGCACATGGAGGGCCAGTGACAAAAGTAGGGGGGCACATTTAACCCCGCCCTCATCGCAGTTTGACCCCGCCCCTGTCGCATGTTAAGCCACGCCCCCGACACAATGTGTTTTGTTTTTTTAATAATACCTGGTGGAGGATTCATTATTTTCCACCAGGGATTATTAAAAAAACAAACACATTATCCTTGATACAGTGCCATAGTTGCCAACATTTGGAAAAAAATTCCAAGGACGTTTTGCAGCACAGCTATCAATTACTGTCTGGGTATAATATCCCTGGACAGTCAGTGCTCTCTGTATAATACAGGGTTGTGTGTATAATAAATTGGG